AGATTTTTCGATGTGCAAACTGCTGTAAGAATAGCCATTTTGTAAGTGTGAACTTGAATCTGCTGCTAAGGAAGGCTGCTATTAATTTTGAGAAATTTGAAGACTACATTTTAGTGGCCTGAGTAGTATTGATGTGGAACGATGCATTGATTGCAAAACATCCCTACTCTACTTTACTACTATATCTTGCTGCAGCACATGGCACCTGGTCAGCCTTTTAACTCACGTTTGCTTCTGAATGAATGTGTGTTCAAAAGGAAAGTGTACTTTTCTCATTCGACAATAATCGGTGTTCCAGGTTCAGCTATGGATTTTTATACGTGTAGGTAGTTACATATCATGGGCATTTAAACCAACATAAGTCATAAAGAGAAGGATTTATTTCATAAAATCATATAACAAAGGAAACCATTCAACCATTATGCCCAAGCTGACACTTTGAAAGCTTTCCAGTTAGTCCTTATTCTATGATTTACTCCCGTTATCCAGAAAGTATTATCTTTGCAACTTCTTTTTTGAATATTGCTATTGAGTCTGCTTCCACTATCCTTTTCAATAGTTCATTCTACTTTGTAACATTTCATTGCATAAACATCTTTTCATATTCTGTATAATTCTTTTGGCAATTACCTTCAATCCCTCCCTCCTACCAGTGGAAACATTTGTTCCTTATCTACTTTATTGAAATCTGGCAAAATTATTAATAATTTTACTGATCAGTTAAATAGTAATGTACTCATTGCACATATTATGCTACGGTTTTTAAATTGAGTTGTTAATGTTTAGGCCATTAATGTTGTTCGGAGGGTGGATGCAAGTTTGATGGGCCAAATGGCCTCTTTCTGCACTGTAGGGATTCAGTGCTACATTATCAAATAACTCACCACTGCTTACTGATCAAGAATACCCAGATAAATGAAGGATCCAAGCTATCCTGGATGATCTTTCTCCTCCTTAGCCCAGGGTCACTAAGATCAACTGCACTACTCATTGCCATGATGTCTAAGGTCAGTTACCTTAGTCAACACCTTTGGGGGAGAAAATACAGTTTATTTTAATGCTTGTCAAGTCCGTGTATTTTGGAGCCAATATTTTAAAAAGGAATTTTCTAAACATTCTTGATCAATGCTGTAACAGAAGGATTTGATATTTTGAATTTTTAGATACTATTAGGGAATTTCTCATGTCAGCAATTTATATTTAAGTGAAAAATTAATTTCTCCATTCAGACATTTGTAAATATTAAGACTGCCTTAAACATTATATCTTTTCAACAGGGAAAGAAAATACCTCTTTTATAAAATGTTCCACAGTGCCTATGGCACTATAGTTCTTCGTCAATGCTAACTACAGAAAAAGTACTATTGGATGTTGTGCTAAGTGGAGCAAAACTCATTAGAGTTCATCAATAGCACTGCAGAATGGAGATCCATACTGACATGTAGAAAACATGTAGCAGTGAGTTTTTTAAAGTAAGGTTATCAGACGCTTTCTATTACCTATTTGATGGACTATCCACATATTCCACACCATGAAAAACTGTGCAGAAAGCCCAGTAGCCATACCGCCAGGGCATAACGGCTGAATTTTCCTCTCCTGAATCAGGACAGAATGAAGGTGGGACAAATGGCCAAAAATGACCACGATGTTGCACAATCAGAAGTCTCACCTTCCTTTCCGCCCTCCACCATATGCCCTGAAATCCATCCATTCCTAATGACAAGGGAATTTAGATCATTGTGGGTTCATTAAAAGCTGGTCTCTAGTAAGTCGGGTGAGGCAGCCAGAGTTCGACAGCTGTCGAGCGTTAGAGTTACTCAATGGAGGAAGGCACAGGGTTAATTGTAAGCTGCAAAGATGCAACTTGAAGGAGGTTGAGCATGGCTGAGGTGGTCGATCATGTTGTACAAAAATACACAAATTATAAAATACATTATCACCCTACCTTGACCTGGCTTCCAGGCCTCGAACTTCCCTCTGAAATGTGGGAAATTTGAACTTTGACAACTTTTGTCCTCAAACATTATTGTGCAAACGGCAGCCACAGCAGTGTTTGCTGATTTGAGCTAGTGTGTGACACCACACCGTCCCCCCTTCCTGGTGACTCCCAGCCCTTCTGCCGCAGCTACTAATAGTGCAGCAGACACATTTCTAGGATCATGAAGGCCTGACCTCTGGAAGACCTGACTTCCAGGCAGGCTGGTAGAGGAGTCGGGTTTGCAATTCTGAATGGAATCTGGCACCTGATTTCCATCTCTTAGAGGACAATCCAGTCCTTGGAGTCTAAAGTGATAGGAGCAGTATTCAAAGCTTTCAACGAAGCCCATAGGGTTTGGGACAGTCCATTCAGAGATTTAGGGTGAGACCTAACACTGTCAGCAAATACAATCTATTGGTGTGGACTGTTGTTAGATCTCATGTAGCTATATGTTCTGTAATATTCCACACTTTATTGGATCACTTTCCTTATAAAGTACCACAGATTGAATGGTATTTCCCTTTGCAGATTTAAGTCCACTGATGCAATAATAAATTTACACTCACTTTGATTGTCTCCATCAACTATAGCACTCCTGACAGAAAGAATAAAAGTAGTAGCTTTGCCAATATTTCTGTCAAAAAGGTTTTCACTCATACCCTGTTTCTTAAATCCAACTAAAATTCGAATATGAAATTCCCAAGCAAAAATACCTTAAAGAATTGTATTTTCTATATAGAGATAGTAAGAACTGCCGATGCTGGGGTCAGAGATAACACAACATGGAGCTGAAGGAACAGAGCAGGCCAGGCAGCATCAGAGGAGCAGGAAAATTGACGTTTCAGGTCTGGACCCTTTTTCAGACCCTTCTTCACTTGCATCACCTTTTGAATTCTGTACATAGCTTGTTTGTTGCTTTCTGAAGAAGGGTACCAACCCAAAACGTTAGCTTTCCTGCTCCTCTGATGCTGCCCGGCCTGCTACGTTCCTCCAGCTCCACACTATTTTCTATATTTCCCAATTTTATCAAATGTGGCTTGAATAGCACTGTATTCTGCATTAGCACATTACATTGATGTTGATCTTAAGCTATTATTAGCAACAGGAGAAAAGCAAACCTTTAACAAACCTGAGATCACTTTGTTACAGAAGTATATAAACTGCTAATATTTAATTGTATCATTGGATGAATGCACTTATAAATGAATGTACTACACCACGGAAATGTTATTTTCACTTTGATCACTGCTTTGCATTAGTAGCAACATGGTCTTGCAATACAAAAATTGTTGATGAAAAGATGCCAAAATCAAAGTACTACTTTTAACTGCTGTTTTGCAATGATCAGGGTAGAGCTTTCCGAAATAATTTCTTACGGTAAGAAAGATTCTTACAGTCTGATATGCAAGATATTCCTGTGCTGCTTTAAGGAAATGTTACTGTTTAGTAGTAATTGTACATGTGGTGTCTGTTATTTTGTTCTCTGTACACTCATTGTCTCAATAAATTAATATTTACCATATTTTCATGTTTTGGTTTCTTGTATCATTACTTTTTGCTGTCTTCTGTCTTTCTCTCCCTCTGTTCTTGTGATTGTGCTGTGATTTTTACATTACAGTTTAATTTTCCAGTTTTCAGTAACTCAGTAAGTGCTATCAATAGTGTCTGGTTACTCCTTTAGTGTTATCAGGAGAGTTGCATTTTAAAGCAGCAGTGTCCTGTTTCATTGATCATTGCTGCTGATTACAACTTTCTCTCATTGAATGATCTAGACACTTGCATCACCTTTTGAATTCTGCACATAGCTTGTTTATTGCTTTCGTTCAGCTCAGTATTCTTAGACATTATTGATGTAATAATACAATATGCAAACTGATATCTTTATTATAAAAATGCTATCTTCCCTCTGTGAGAAATATTTCAAAGTCAATCATTTAAACATTTATGTTTTTTAATCACCTTTTTAAGTAAAATTCTTTCGAAAGTTGCATTGACCATCTGAGAGCTGGCAGCCTAAGTATATCCATTGGAAGGATGCTGCAAGTTATTACAGAAACTAGCATCAATTTGTTGGCCATGTCCATAAACATGATGTAAATTCAAGTTAATAATACTCCAGTTTGATGTTTGTAAAGGCAGCAAGACGAGTGTATTCTAATCCTGTGAATTTTAAACAATTTTTTTTTAAATTGGTAACATTATGTCAGCCAAAATAGCCTAAATATGAAAGTGTGCAGTATCCAAAGAAAATTAGACTGTTTTGGTAATGAAGGAGCAGATCTTACTGCCCAGTTTTTTTTCTTTGCCAAATATTAGCAGTCTGCTGTTGCACCAATTAATTTGCCTCTCATGGCTATTGAAAGTTGTTTGTAAGCCGTAGAAGATACGCATTAAAGTTCCATAACTTTACAGTGTTAGACTGTCTAGAGTTTAGTGTCGCCATGAGCTTGGATTTCAATTGTACATTTGCAAAATATAAATCTCACAAAGTGGATTGTTAATCTGTGCTTTACTATAGTTTTCAAAACATTTTCATAGGTGGCAAGGCACTTAAACCACAATGCCATTGTCACACCTAGCATAATTGGATAGTTGCCACATGACTGAGGAGAAGAAAAGTGCAGGGACTGGAGGCAACACAACTTTATTTGATTGAGTGTTGTTTCCCATTAGAATTAACAGAAATTGGAATCATATCACTTCATATTCTTTTCCCCATATGCTCTCGCTAGAAGAAGGCATGTTACGCGCAGTACCAGGCAGCTTGAGTCACTGTTCCTGCGATCAAAACAACCTTTCCAAAGCTACTGCATTGAGCTGACTGAGAAAACAGAGGCATTTTAAATAAGGGTCTGTTAAGTAGAAATTGAATTTGAAATAGTTGCAATATAATGTAGAGAGATAAAAACATTTTTGATTGTGACAACATATGATGCAAAGACCTGTAATTTGTTGAATTAGATGTGTCATTCTTGCTGTCCAGAATATTATTTAAAAGCTATACTTTTCTTTAAATACTTAGATCTCTATCTGGACGCATTGTCGGAGGAGTGTGGTGGTTCTTCACTCTGATTATAATTTCTTCCTACACGGCAAATCTTGCTGCTTTCCTGACTGTAGAGAGAATGGTGTCACCTATAGAAAGTGCTGAAGATCTTTCAAAGCAAACTGAAATTGCTTACGGAACACTGGACTCAGGTTCTACAAAAGAATTTTTCAGAGTAAGCCTCTCTGTGTCTGATAGGGTTAGGTGTTCTACATTAACAAAGTAAGCCCATATTCAGTCAGATCAAACATAGAGGGATATATGTGTAGCCAGCATGGAATTGAAGAAAGTGGGAAGATGCAACAATTGCTACTGGTTAAAATGATCAAACTCTCCATATTACACAATGCTTCCAATGTTGCTGAAAGTGGAGAGAAAATTGCTGTTTGTAGAGATCAGCAAGCCAGTATTGAATGGTAGAGATGTGAGAATATTCTGAAGATCCATCCAATTATCTTTGAAGGTTAGGGAATGTTTTGCAAAACTTTACTAGATGTGGTAGAGGCTATGATAAGATTGAATGTTCTTGATATGTGGAAGGAACAGGCTTGAATGGATGAAAAAAATGCAAGGTTTCTGCTGAGATGCAGAATGATGCTTCCATTTGATCCAGCACTCAGAAATATTGTCACACTTTGTTTCATGTCATATCTATCCTTTTTATTTGGTAGTCTCTTTTTCTTCCTGACGACTATCATTCTTTGTGCTCACTTTTTTACAGTATCTTTTGCTTATTATTGGGAATGTTTTGACTAGGGAGTGAAATGGAGCATCTTTGTACATTGAAATGTTGCATTTAGTGGCCTAAACAAAGACTGGTAAAATTAATGATAACTTAAATAAAGTGAGGGTTGTCTGCTATTTATGAAACAGGTTCTTAGACAGCTGAGATTTACTCTTTTATTGATCTCCAAAGCAGTAAAGTAGAATAATATCTTAGCAACAAAGATTAAAACTGTGGAGAATTACTATGTGAACTTGTTTGCATGGAAATTACAGAGAAGTAAGAGAATTATAATAATGTTAATTAGAGAGCAATTATAATAGGGTAATTAATTATCCAAAAAGAGACAGGAGTCAGTAGTCTTGTGATCATCTCTGACGTGTCTCTGATGTACGGTAGGGTGATTATTGTGTCTGGCTGTGTTGTGTCTTCTTGTTGTGGTCTGTCGCGGAGGTAACGGCAGATTGTGCTTTTTGGGTATCCGCCATTACCTCCGTGACAGACCACAACAAGAAGACACAACACGGCCAGATACACTAGTCACCCTACCGTACATCAGAGACATATCAGAGATGACCACAAGACTACCCAGGCCCTAGGTATCAGGGTAGCCCACAAACCAACAACCAACATACCACCAACAATGACAGCTACTGACGAATATAAAGAATCCCACACCCATAACCAATAAAACTAACGTAATATACAAAATACCATGCAAGGATTGTGAGAAACATTACATAGGCCAAACTGAAAGAAAACTGACAATAAGGATACACAAACACCAATTAGCCACCAAGGGACACAAACAATTCTCACTGGTCTCAGTACACACGGACAAAGAAGGACACAAATTTGAATGGGACATCACATCCATAATAGCACAAGCCAACCAAGGGAATTCCTTGAAAGCATTCCAACCGGAACTCCATCAACAAACACATTGAACTGGACCCGATACACAAACCACTGAAAACAGAACTGGAAGTAATGCCAACCACCCCAGAAAACCAAGGCAATAAATAACAAGCGGGACAGAACACCAATGCTTCACCAGAGGCACACTGATGATGTTATCTAGCAGGGTGACGAAATGTCTACAACCAAACACACTGGCTTGGCGAGCACATCTACAACGTCAGCCACAACCCAAGCTCCAAATCTTCTCAAAAACATTAGATGGCTTAGCTATATTTCAAAGTATATATTCATGAAGGGGAAAGGTAGGGCAAGAAAATTCCGAGCTCCTTTGGATATTGAAAGATATGAAGAGTAAAATAAAGAAGAAAGAAATGTGCCTATGACAGATATCAGGTAGAAAGTACAACTGAGAACTAGACTGAACATAGAAGGCTCAGAGGGCAAGTGAAGATGCAAAAAAGAAAGGCATAAAGATTGTGTAAAAACAGACTGGCAACTAACATAAAAGCTTCGAAAGGCATATAAATACTATAAGTTTGTGGCTAATTCGGAAACAAAAGGACATTTAGGACTAAAACCGATAGCATAGCTAACATAGGAAATTAATACTTTGTGCCTGTCTTTACCAGGGAAAAAAGTATGATGGAAAGAGGGATTAGTTCAGATTGAAGAATTTAATATTGACAAAGAGGAGGCATTTGATAGATTGTTTGATAATGCAGTATGACTGGAGAACATGCATCGAAGGACACACAATTCAGAATGTAAAATATGCAGGCATTGGCTAAAGTTTTCCAGTCTTCCTTTGAGTCAGCCGAAGAGGCAGAAGACCAGAGATTGCAAAAGTTAACACCCTTCTTCAAGTAATGGTGTACAGATAAGCCAGGGACATCAAGCCTGACCATTCAACTATGGTGGTGTTGAAGCTTCTAGAAACAAAAATTTGTGACAGACTTAACAGTCACTTGGACAAATATAAGTTAACTAAGGAAATGCAGTGGTATAAGGGTAAATTGTGTTTAACTAATTTGCTGACATTTATAATGAGGTTAAGAGAGAGGGTTGAACAGGGTAATGATGTTGATATGATGTATAGGTACTTAATAAAGTGCTGAATAATAACAACAGAAGTAAAATATAAGTTGAATTCGCCATAATCTTACCAGATCATAGGACTATTCATTTATTAGAGAGGGATAACTGGTGGTGAGTTTAACCTGAGGGTCACCATGCCTCAGGTGAGGGGAGAGGTTGAGAAGGAATCTTTTCATCGTAACCTCAGTCCATGTGGGAATTGAACCCACACTGTTGGTGTCACTCTGCATTGCAAACCAGCTGTCCAGCCAAGAGATAAAAGGGATAGCAGTAATATGGAAATGAAATGAGCTGAATGACAGAAAACAAAGTAGTGGTTCACAGATGATTTACAAACTCTAAGAAAATTTGCAGAGGAATTTCCCAGGGTTGGAATTAGGACCCCTGTTGTTCCCAAGATGTATATTAATATGCTGTACCTCACTGTTCAGGACAATGTTTCAAAATTTGTGGATGATAAAAACTTGGAATAATTGTGAATTGTGAGAAAGATTGTATGGAAAATCAAAAGGACGTAGATAAGTTGGTGAAATCATAGAAGCAGGTCATTTAGCCCATTGAGTCCACACTGACCCTCTGACAAGCATCCCACCCAGACCCACCTCCCTACACAATCCCGGTAACCCTGTATTCCCCATGGCTAATCCACCTAACCTGCACGTCCCTGGAGACTGTGGGCAATTTAATATGGCCAATCCTCCCAAACTGCATATCTTTGGACTGTGGGTGGAAACCAGAGCACCCAGAGGAAACCCATACAGACATGGGGAGAATGTGTAAACTCCAAACAGACGTTCGCCAGAGGGTGGAATTGAACCAGGGCCCCTGACACAGTTGAGGTAGCACTGCTAGCCACTGAACCACCATGCCACCCTAAATGGAAGAATGAAACTTAATGCAGAATGAAGTTATTCATTTTAGTCAGGAAAATGTGGAGAGACAATTTGGAATAAAGGGTTCAATTCTAAGGGGATACAGGAACAGAGGGACCTAAGGGTGTATGTGCATGATAGGTGCCAGAAGAGGTTTAGAGTGTAGTTAGTAAAATATATAGTATCCTAGGCTTTATTAATTGGGACATAGAATAGAAAAACAAGGAAGCCATGTTTAACTTTTATAGAAAACTGGTTCAGCCTCAGCTGGAGAATTTTATCCAGTTCTGTGTGCCAATCTTTAAGAAAGGCATGAAGCCATTGGAGAGAATGCACAAAATAATCAAATGAATGGTTCCACAATGGGGAACTTCAATTACATAAATAGACTGAAAAGGTTTAAATTGTTTTCCTCGGAGAAGGTCCAAAGGAAATTCGATAGATGTATTCCAAATCATGAAGGGTTTGAAGAGTTGACAGGGACAAACAGTTACAATTGATAAAAGAATTGAGAGCAAGAGAGCACTGATTTAAGATCATTGGCAAAAGAAGCGACAGAGATGTAATAAATTTTCTCATCAATGATTGGTTGGGATCTGGAACGTACTGTTTAAGACTATGGTGGAGGCAGGTTCAATTGAACATTCAGGAGGGAGTCAGATTATTATCTAAAAAAGAAGAATGTGTAGGGCTACATGGAGAAGCAGAGAAGGGGCAGTAGCTAAATTGCTCGTTCAAAGATATTGTGTTGACAATAGTCTCACCTGGCTGGATGGCTGGTTTGCAATACAGAAGTCATGCCAACAGTGTGGGTTCAATTCCCTTGAAGTTACTGTCAAGTACTCTCCTTCTCAACCTTTCCCCTCACCCAAGGCATGACGATTCTGAGGTTAAACCACCACCAGTCTCTCTCTGCAATGACAGAGGAACACCATGGTCCGGTAGGACTTTTTTTATTGGCTCCTTGGCCCTTTGCTGCACTGTAACAAACTACGGGTTCTCTCATTTTATGTTGTTATAAACCTTTGATCATTTTATCAATCTTCCTTTATCCTTCTCTGCTCTAAAGAGAACAAATTGGCTTCTCCAGTCTATCCAGTCATCGCACCAAATTCTTCAGTTACTGCACAGCTTCTAAGTGACTTGGAGTGTTTGCTATGTGAGTGGAGCTGGATAAATACAAGTTGTGCTGATTCCAGTTTCTTTTTTCCAGAGATCAAAAATAGCAATATATGAAAAAATGTGGGCCTACATGAAATCTGCAGAACCTTCTGTTTTCACCAAGACCACAGCTGAGGGTGTGGCACGAGTTCGCAAGTCCAAGGGCAAGTTCGCTTTCCTTCTGGAGTCCACAATGAACGAATATATTGAGCAAAGAAAACCGTGCGATACCATGAAAGTAGGAGGCAACCTGGATTCCAAAGGATATGGAGTGGCAACGCCTAAGAACTCCCCATTAAGGTGGGTGGGATAGTATAACAATATGTCATTGTGTTGTTATAGTATTCCACCTACCCTGATGTCCCTTGTATTTCTTTTATCTTGTGTGACTGGTATGTGCATGATCTCATTCCACATCTTTAAAAAGTATGCAGGTAATGAATGTTCCAGGAGTGAAAAATAGATCGATTGCATTTTCCTTAGTGACACAAAAGCTGTAGGGAGGGAGAGCAAAACAATTCCACTTCAGCAATTTTATAACGCAGCGGTTTTTCTTACTCAACAAATAGACCACACATGAATTTTAGTGTAGGTATCAAGAACTGCACGGCAAACAAGTTTAATTTCCATTCATTTTACAGAACATTTAGCAATATGCTCAGTAGAAAGAAGAAAACTGTTTTAATTATATAACTTACCCAGTCTTCACAGCCTGTCAAGGTGCTATACTGTCAATAGATTATTATAGATAGCAGGATACATGTAATATTGGCAGGAGCATTTTAGAATATCCAGTGAAAGGAAACATTTTAAATTACATTTTATAGCATCACTACCTTCACTTCAAAGCTTTGTGTTATCCAGTAGGTAGAAGTTTATTCTACGATTCTGTGCTCCAGATGAGTAATTACTTTCATAGGGAATGTGAATCAGAGAATCAGGGCTATGGTGTTGTAGCCACATCTTTAACTCACATTTCCATATGGTATGATATCCATCAGGAGTGCAAGATCATACAATTATCTCTCTTATATTCTTCTAGGGAACCTTCATCCCAGTAACTACCAGGTATTTCATTCTCACAACTAATGATGTTCAAATGCCTAAGATCATGGACATTATTTGACATAACCAGTATTTTTTGTTACTGCTTCCACTCCTGTTAGGTCTGGTGTGTCTGCAGGGATAAGAACAGTTTGTGACCATAAAAGAGATGGTTTTCTCACAAATTTGACATCCTGACTCTTATGCGAAGAAAGTCCAAATCAAGTTATGCTGGGGTAGCAATGAAAAGACAAGCCTGAACTTTCCCATTGGCTAATGTAGCAGTAACTACACAGCTTGCAAGGGAACTTATCTGTCCCTCACTTTTCACTGTTACCAAACTTGTTTTTCCATTTTTTTAAATTTGATATGATTGTACCAATACTACATGTAGTTGACCTGTTAAAGTAGTTATCACCTTCTCTTTCAACTATTACTGCAGTCCTAGGCCTGATTTTTGGAAAGAGGAAGAGGCTTAATATAATTGTACCTCAGCCTCAATTCTACAAGTCCCATTCCTGAACCCAGTATCCAGCTGGGATGGGAAATGGGGACAGGTTATAATTTGCACATTTGCAGTTCACTGAGGTGACTGTATATATGAACATGTAGCTTCAAACCGATCCAATTTTCATGAGTGAATGGCTAAAACATGATTTGAGGGCTTTACACTTTTCAAGGAAGGTCTAAACTTACTGGATGTCTTTGGAGAGGTATGATAGTTTTTTGGACAGGTAGGCCAACCTTTTGGAGAGGGATGATACCTTTTTAGAAAGGTACAGTATTCTTTGGAAGAGGTCAAGTGTCCTCTGGCCAACAAGATTGTTAAAAGAAAACATTGGTATATGTAAAAAAGTAGATAAACTCATTGGAACTATCAAGCTGTCAAGGCATTTTAATTCCCTGTGTGATTAATTTCACAACTTTTCAACACAGTTGATTACCTGTCAACATTACAGTTCCAGGGGCTTATAAAGTCTTTGATGTGAGGCTGAATACAAGTACTTGTTGTTATATGGGAAATTAGTTATTTATTGAAGGAATGCAAGTATAGTGATTTTTTTTAATCAACAATAAGTCTGAAGTCATCAAAGCAGACAGAACTTTATTTTATTTATTCTCAACTTGGGTCCTGAGGAAACTGGGTGAGTTGTCATGGAAGGTATAAGGGAAAGAGATGGTGAATGGGAGGATGGGTAGCATGAATTGGCACTAAGCTGGTATAGAGGCTATGAAGTGATATTAAGCCAGCAATAGTGGAGGGACACCTGTGTGATGGTTCATGACATGGAGTCGGTGGAACTTGAACCTGATGACGGTCCAATGATATTGTTGCTATTTACTTCTTGACAGTCTCAGTGAAAAGAAACAGAGGTAGTGCTGAGGTAGATCATAATGCAGCCACAAATTGTCAATGATGAAAGGGGTAGATATTGAACCTGATGATAGGGGGAACCAGTCAAGAAAATTCTTTGTTATCTTTGGGTTTCTAATGTGGCCTGGTTTTGATTTTGGGCAGTTGTTTGACTATTAAGAATGAAGCTATTCTGACACATGTATACCAGTGAAATAGCCATTTGATAATTCATAATTGCAGACATATGGAAATTAGATATATCTTGCCACTCTGTCACACTTTTCTCATGCATTTCTGAGACCAACCCTTGAACAAAATACTGGCTGGATTTATAGCAATGCATTCTCTCTCCAACAATCTTGATTGATGTGATTAATTCTGTAATTCTGTACTTGAACTAAATGAGGTGGTGAACTTTCTTTGAAGTCTGAAACATGAGGATTTGCCACTTGTCCATTAATGTTGATATTCATTGGATCATCTGTGATGGAACACATGTGTCTCACAGCTGGAATCAGAAACCCACATGTTGGAAAACAAGTGCCAAAACTTGCACCTCACTACTCTATGAGACTAAGTATTAGCAGGCCCAGAGAACTGGTCCACTATATTGCCTGTTGTATATGATTATTTAGATCCAGTTCAGTTAGAAAGCCACTGTACATAAAATGATACGTTATTCGTATATTTCTCCAGTTAGATGGAAAATCATTTCATGCAGATATTATCAGATGTATATTTCAAAAGCCATTAAGGAAATCCAATACTGAAAGGGTAAAAGGAAAACCAACAGCTTAGTATATTTATCATTACCCATTTTGTTACAAAAAGAACATAATAGAAATGCCCCTTTCTACAACAACATTTCAGCTCTTTTAAATGTTACATCAGAAGTATATAGTTGTGTATTCCAAAGTGCAGATATTTTAAAATGTCACGATTTGTTGGATTGACCAAGTCTATTAGGACTCAATGCTCATAGTACATATTTCCAAGACTGCTTATGCAGACACAATCATTTTATGATTTGTTATTTCAAGATCCTAGTTTTGGCTTGTGAAAAGAGGCCATGATTGCCTGCATGCTAGTCTGGCATGCTTGACATACAAGCTTTTTGCCAAGCATGCATTGTCAGTGTATGTATATCCAGCAAGATATAAGGCTGTTTTCTGTATTATATAAATTGGGTACTGCTAGCAGTATATTCATTCTCAGAGCTGTTCTCTCAGTATGGCCAGTTGAGGCATTAACGTTAATTCTTCATTTTGATGAAGAGCTTCCCACTCTGCTTCATCATGTTGAATTACAGAAAAATCACTACATTTTTTCATTAGGTTTGATGGGCCTTCTCACAGATAAACTTCAAGATATCTTGAGCCGTTTATTTATGCTCCGATGTATTGCCATTTATGTCAATTTTACTGGGTTTTCTCTGGCAATACAGTCCAAGGTAGGAATGGGTCAGTAAATAATTCTTACATGTGTGTCAATTTGGAATGTTAAAATTATTAGAACAATGTAGAAAATACAATGGCTAGAATCTTCTGATCTAGGTCGGAATTCCGATTTCCAGCCTACGTCAAACTAAAAGTCTTATCCTGGTGCAGATTTTTAGGCAAACTTCCAAGACAAGCACTTTCCAATACAAAGCAGCATAGATGAGTCCTGAAATCTTCATATCCAGCAGCAGAGTGGGTCAATGCTGAAACCATACACCCTTTTGCAGCAGTAAGTGCAGAATTGTATGGTTTACTTTCTTGAGCCATTTTGACAGCCAGAGAGATAAGGTAAGTGAGGGGGTAGAATGGCAGGTATGTTGGGTGGATTGGAGTGTCACATGGGTGACGAGTACAGGTGCTCAATTGGTAGGAGAAAAGGTGCCAAGGATTGATGAATCCAGGTGCCGGCAGAGAATATGGTACCAAGTAAGTGTGTGAGGGCTTGGGATAGGTTGAAAGTCAGGTCACATGGCAGGGGAATGTCATGTGGTGGTTGTCAGGACTGGTCCAATCAGAGAATGGTCATGTCTAGTCAAGATGGTAGAGTTGGGAATTGGGGTGAGGTGGTGCTGGGGTGTCGGATTGAGGGCCTCTGTGGGAAGTCAGGTGTGGTGGTGATTTGGGAAGTATTAGGTCCGGGGGTGGGGTCAGGTTGAGTAGAGAAAGAGGTTGTCATTGGTGAGTTGGAATAGTCAATTTTACAGATGGTATGGAGTTAGAACAAGTTTTAATTTATCTCACTTCACCTGGCTAACGATTCAGTTAAGTGAATCAGAACCTTCCGATGTCTCCGACTCCATTTCAAAGTCAGAAGAGTTCAAATGCCAAGTAGTTGCCTACTGGAAGTTTCAACTTCCCAGGAAATTCCTGCAAAGTCAGCTGCACTGGGACTTCCAGATGATTCTGATGCACAGCTCCTGTTGAAACTGCTGCAGCAAGTATCTTTCTATTGGAAGATCTGGGCTATTATGCTAGAATGCAATACCTAGTAACTATTGACAATAACAACTTTTAAGGGAACTCAAGAGAAACGATGTGAGGTCCTGGGAGTAGAGGGGAATTAGAATAGACATTCCACTGTGGGGCTTGTACCTTCATCAATACAGTGAGGCAAATGGCTTCTATTCACACTGAAAATTGTATAAATTGATCAATTCAAGTGACAATTTTATCATTGTTTTTCACGAGTTCTGACTTTGTTCTGTTTTCCATTTGATTTCTGTCCTTCACTAATGTTTCTTTCTACCTCATGGTAGCATATTTATTGAATATAATTTGCTCGCCCTGAAACGACACAAAGTGAGTAGACATGTTGGGGATAATTTTATCTTTTGACAAGTGTGTAAAACGAGTGGTTTGGATTAATGGTCTTTTATTGATGCTGTTCATTTTATCCTGTCTGATTTATCCTTGCATCAAAGTAAAGGAAATCAGCAAGGATCATGATGGATGACCAATCAGTCGTTTGATGTTGCTAAAAGTTAAAATCACCCCCACTGACTTTACAATAAGGTAACCCCTCATCTAGTACTTAACTGTACTAAAGAATTTGGATAGGATGGCTTTTCAAAACATGATTGCTGAGTCAAAGGTGCAAATCAAAATGAAAGTTTCATTTAGCATGGAACAGAAGAGATTACTATTTGTCCGCATCCGTCTCAATTTTTAACAGCTGTGCACTTTCTTACAAGTATGTTTTATCGTTTCAAGAAATGCTGTTAACCTCGCAGTTTTAAAACTGAATGAACAAGGACTCTTGGACAAATTGAAAAACAAATGGTGGTACGACAAAGGAGAGTGTGGCAGCGGGGGAGGTGACTCCAAGGTTAGCCTCAATGTCACCACAAGCGGGTAACAGTGCTACTAGTAATGGGTACGTCTGCTAGTATATAAAATGAGCTCGACTGTAACTGTCAATGTTGCACAACCGCAGCAGCTAAAATCTTGAGAAGAATTTTATTCTTTTTCACAAGTAGCAAGATGACTCAAGTACTGTAAAAGCACAAATATTTGCCTCATCTTTCCAACACAGCCATTCTGTAAATTATATATAATATAAGTATATATGTCCGTCACATTATATTTAATAGTCTATAGTTCCTTTAATTCTGACAGGTTTTTAAACAATGAAAACAGTGTTTAAAGCCTTGCTGCCAATATTTCTGGTTTCACAGTATTTGTACTTGCTCTTATTTAAATACTCTCCTAGCAGTATGTGCCTATTACCTAAAGCGATACAGCAGGTCCCAGTTATATGTCTGTTTCTGTACTTGGGGCCTTTGCAGCATACTTCTTCTGGGGCTTCGCTTTATCACTTTGTAAATAAATTCTGTGTAGCTTTAATTGAATAACATAAAATAACATATATAATGTTATTTATGTTATTTTCCACGTGAAGAGTTCCTGTAAACCTTGCAGTTTTGAAACTCAGTGAGCAAGGCATCTTAGACAAGCTGAAAAACAAATGGTGGTACGATAAAGGTGAATGTGGAGCCAAGGACTCTGGAAGTAAGGTCAGTCACTGCAGTTTGGGACCTACTGTTGTCTTCTCAGAACAGTTTAGGAGTATAAATACCAACTTGTAGATATAGTTATAACTGAATGTGATATATTCAGCATCAACATGTTGCATTTTTTTGTGTAATCACAATGACACTTTCTCAACTCTCTTAGTTAATTATGGTATATTTGGTCAAGATTAGGAAAGACTTAAAATCAAGTTTACTGCATTTGAAAATTAGGACACACAGCACTACGTCTCAATGCAGTAGTCATTAACAATCATTACTGATAATTTTGGTGCAATATATTCAACCTAATAAACATTACAAAAGTAATAAATGAATAATACATTGAATAACTATTCAAGGACAAAAAATATGGCCAGACATAATTTTAACCTTTAAGAGTAACAATCAACATTACAGTTGAATGACTTACATGAAAAAGGACTGAAATTTTAGCCTTATTTTATCCGTTTATTTAAAGCAAAAAATCATCTTAACATGCTTCTCACAAACAACACAAACCGCTACCCATAAATGACTTATTCTGAATGTATAATATCTGATATTAAGTAGGCAAATAGCAAAACCCAGCAAACAGTATAATATAAGTGACCAGTTAATTTGTGGTTGAAGGAGAAATGTTGTCCAGAATGTCTCCCTTAGATTGCTGCCATGGATCTTTTGTTATTCAACCAAAAGAGCAATTTGAATGTTATCCAAAGGGAGGTACTACTCCCTCAATACTACATAATAACTCACAGGTAAAGTTTCAGAAAACCTTAGATGACATTCTGGTGAATCAATTGAATGAAAGTGGGCAAACTCTACAACAGGTCAGCAATACCTCAGACCTTGCCTAGACAGTAAAGGTGAAAATTCCTCCCAGAGACATTTGCACCAGTTACTTTCTATACTACATTAATTAATTGAATGAGATTTGCAAACAATAGTCTGTCAAGTTCAGCCATACATAATCTTTCTCCCATATTCTTCTTTTTGTTACCTTCAAAACTATTATTGTTATACCTAACGTATAAGAATTGTGTACACCACAGAGCATAAAATGGCACTTCACCTTTTAACATCTTCAAAACATACCTACATTGCATAGAAAATCTATTTGATGCTTTCCTGCTACATTTAAAAAGAGTCTAGAATATTAACATTCCAATATAGGCCCCATTGATTATCAATACCTCTTTTATAATCTTGTGATATTTTAGAGGACAAATAAAGATGCACTATATTGCAATATCATGATTTATCTTCAGATAGGATTTGCTAATAGCAGCAAATCATTTATCAAATCCTATTCAGTTACTTCTATGTGTGCAAAATAATATCCTCACTTTAGACAATGCAAATCATTTACAATATTTCCTCAATAAATTGCTTTAAATATGGGTTATAGTTTTGTCAATGTATTGTCTTGTCTTTGTTACATGAGCAATCTCTTCAATGGTCTAATCAATTTGCCTTGTTTCTTCTTAGGACAAGACGAGCGCTTTGAGCCTTAGCAACGTAGCTGGAGTCTTCTATATTCTAGTTGGAGGCCTTGGTTTGGCAATGCTGGTGGCTTTGGTAGAATTCTGTTACAAGTCCAGGGCAGAGGCGAAGAGAATGAAGGTGGCAAAGAGTACACAGAATTTTAATCCAACTTCTTCGCAGAATACCCAGAATTTAGCAACATATAGAGAAGGTTACAACGTATATGGAACCGAAAGTGTTAAAATTTAGGGGTAGGATTTAGGGCCTAATAAAGTGGGTGGTGCATTTGTAATGTAGTGTTGTGGTATGATGTCTAGTGGTACTGCTGGCTTACATATTGAGCAATGGCCATAAAAGAAATACTTAAGAGGATGGTACAGTGTTCGGCTGCTTATTTCTTAGCTAAGACTTTTTGGTGTTTACTGTATTTTGTTGTTGTTTTTAATCAAAATAAGGCCATACAGTAATAGTATTTTTTTTTCTTTCAATCCAGTTGACCTTTTCGGAAGCTGTGAGAAACAAAGCCAGATTGTCCATAACTGGAAGTGTTGGAGAAAATGGCCGTGTATTGACTCCAGACTGCTCAAAGGCTGTGCACACTGTTCCTACCATTAGACAGAATCCAGGATTGGCTATAGTAGCATCAGATCTACCATAAAAACCAAATACTATTTGAGTGCCTTATAAAACAAAACACAACAGTTTCGGTGACTAGTAGTAATGCACCACAGACTGTGAAAACATTACAAGAATCCTCAATAAATGTGAAGACAAAGAGCAGGGTTGGGGAGAATTTGCTTGAAACAGATCACCATCAGGAAAAAGTGTGCATGAGCTCTGTTTAAAACAGCCCAGTTCTGATTTGATATCAGACAAGTTTTGTCAAGATTGCAGAACAAAGCAACTAAGAACTTCTGAAGAAATACATGCCAATAAGGAATTGAAATCATTACCAGTAGAAATTCAAATGTGAAGAACCCATTGCTAGAAAAAAAAATCACTCTTGGCTTTTGTCCTAAGACACATTATGAAAATAGCAGTCAATGAACATATTAGCCTGAGTCTAAATTTCAGAATATTCATACAGTAAATGGGCGTGAACCACTTATACTGGAAAACAAAACTACTGAACCACAGAGGGAAATAATAAGTAAAATTTGTGAATTTTACTGCACATGTTATCTTTTCTTTAAAAAAGGAAGATTTTTTTTCTTTGAAAAGGAACAAAGTAAAATGCTTGCTTTTTAATGAAAGTATGTTAATGAGAAAAAAATCAGTAGTGGAAAATAGTTTTTTTTAACCATTTAGGGATGTTTCATTGCAATATAGAAAAATTAATGCCTCATCTTATTAACGTATAAAATACTTTTGTAATGAAGAAAATGAATTGTCTTCTTGTTTGCTGTTTCCATTTCATTCACTACAATTATTACGTCATTCAAACTACCACAGTCTGCATCTGTCTAACTTGAAGAAGAATGATAGTTTACACCTCAGTCTACAATGTATAGTCAAAACAAAATATTGTACTGTGTAATAAATTGTGCTTTTTTGTACCCACTAAAATGAATAAACTGAATAATTCTTGATATTTATTTGAATATCAGAATGTTAGTAATATCCGTATTTTATCGACACTTTATATGTGCTAATTATTTAAAAGTTCCAAGACTTACATAAACGTGAATACATGATTAAGAGTAACATTTATTTGCAATATCCAGTAAGTAAACCCAGTAGAACTTTCAGAAAGGAATAGGATAAGTACTTGAAGAGGAGACCATTTCAGAGCTCGGGGGAAGAGCAGGGAAGTGGACCTAATTGGATATCTCTTTCAAAAAGTAAGGCATCAGTCACATACACGATGGGCTAGATGATCTTTTGATCTCCTTGCATTAAATGATAAAGTATTTGAAAAGCAATAATCATTACCAGGTAAAACTATTGCCATGTTTTCACACATTTTGTGTGTCTCCATTAAATAGTTTCTTGTAGTTTTTATGTTGCATTGTGCAGTATTTCCCTTTTATATTCTAATATATTTGAAAACAGTTAATGATTCTTGCTGCATCTCCACACCAACCATAGTCCAATTTGTTTGCACTCTGCCCTCATGCTGGATTGTTTCCCTTTTATATTGGTTTTCTTGCATTTCAGTCTGATGAGTGCAAGATAAAAAAAAAAAATTTCATGGTGACTGTTTCAACAATGTTTATTTCTGTATTACTAAGCAATTATTTAGTTCTCTTACTCGCTTAGTTCACTCAATTTGGTGTAAATTTTCACTATAGTTTGTATAGTGACTCATAAAATGTGAATTATTTTCCATTATATGCAATGATGAAGACATTTTTAAACTTTTATTATTTTGTTGCACTCACACAGACTTATTGCATTCAAGGTGATTTCATCTCTAAACTGCCATTGTAAAATGGTTTTAGATGATAGCACATTGCTGAATCATTATTTGTTTATGCCAGTTGAGTATTTTTGGTGAGAAATGAAAGGGATCAACCAAGTGTAGCTATGCGCTGCTGAATGGCAGCTGAGTTAAGGTCAAAAATATTAGCAGCACTGAATCTAGAAGGTAAAGCGTGGACATCACGAAAATTACTGAATGAGGCGTCAGTAGTTAAGATTTCCTTGCTTGATGTTAGTCAGCACAGTGAAAGACACGAGGCGCCAGAGATGAAGGGTAGAATTATAGAAGTTGGAAGTTGTGATTTAATGGCATAACAAATGGAGTGCAACCCACCTGTTAAATAAACTCATAATGCCATCTTTGCTTCATGATGTGCTGATCTTAGCTCTTCAAGTCCAACCATCTTGTCCAGACAATGACCAGTTATCAATTAAGGGAATTATAGAGTGCTCAAGGCCTCATTAATGGCCTGCCTTTGCTCATTAATATTCAGCTTCCCATTTTACCAAACAAGCCAGATGATGGGAAATCTCAACGTGCAAATCAGAGCAGGCAGCTGGTGATTTCATCTCACCAGCTTGCTGCAAAAGACCTCAGTGTTTGACACTGGGCACCAAGATCTAAAGGATTGCTCACCACGTCCACAGACATTGACATCCGACATTGATATCCAACATTTCCCAGCGCCTTTGAACCAATGTGGCATATCTCCAATTCACTCAGAGGACGCTTCTGCACTTCAATGTTACATTTCAGACTGCAGCGGCAACTGTCATTATACTGTTGCTGCAGGGACACTGTACCCAGCACCCAGCTTGTGGACTGGACCAGGCTGCATCCCTGGGCTCTTCACTCACTGCCATCGTACTCACTCACTCTGAGCCTACCTGAATGCTCACAGTATCCTTACTTGCATTGCCTTGCCTTGCCTTGCCCTTTTGTGCTTTGCCCCCTTAGCCAGAGCCAGTGGACTCATATTACTTCTGTCTTACCTTGCTGACACAATAGAAGGAAACTTGTCATGCTTGTCAGCAGGTTGTCAGTCAAGGCAAGGGGGATAGCCCTCACTCAATGGGTCTCAGTATAGTAAGTCAAGGGCAGCGTCCGATATCAGTTCAGGGTCTTGGACCAGCCAGTCAGCCACTCCAGGCAGTCAGAGTCAGATGCACAAAGGGTGAAAAGCTGAATATCAGGCATCCCGCCATCAATGTTGGCTCCTTCTGCCTGGTTGGGGACTGTTTTCCGCCTGCAACGAGAGACAGGTATTACAAGAGATGAAAGTGGGTGGCACAGTGCTACTTTTGGTGCATGTGGGGAGGTGTACCCAATGAGTCAGTGGGCAGCACAGAGTGCGCTATTGTGGATTGGGTGGTGGACAGTGGGTGAGAGAAGATGTTGCAGGTAAAAGTGTGAGACATGATGTGGTGTTGCCAGTGTTGGACTGGGATAGACAAGGTCAAAAATCATACGACACCAGGTTATAATCCAACAGGTTTGCAGAGCATAAGCATTGGTGGGATGGCATATGGTAGCAGAGATAGAGTGTGTGTGAGGTATCTGAAGGAATATAGTGGCATTTATGCTGGGGTATTGGAGAAATGCATTGACCTTCTTCCCAAAGTGCTGTGCATCCCTGCATATGGTTGATATTATTCTAATTCAAGTGGCAATTTTGTCCAGGCTGGCATGTGGTCTCCACTGATCATCCTGGGTGAGGAGGATGTCCCATGTCAACACCATCCCATCCAGTAGGACCTCCAGGACCCTCCCCACAGTGTGTTAATTTCCCCCTGTCTACCATGTCTGGTGCAACTATGTAGGGCAGCTTGGGCCTGACAGTGTTTGTCCCAATGTACAGCAGGCTTTTAAAGAGGTCGTGGGTGAAAACTATGCTGTTCTTTTACCTGATGAGTGGCAAGTTGGTCTGGGAAAAGCCTGTGGCAAAATGGATATAGGCACGCCACATGAGTGGGATAGGTAGTTAATGAGGCGTGTTTTGTAAGATTTGGTGAGAATTCCAACTGAGGCTCATGGCAAAGGATGCTGTAGAAAACACAACTTGCACTTAACCAAAAGAAATGAAGATTTAGTCCTTATTACTGTAGCAGTATTCTGGAAGTTAGGTCAGTTAGTTCAGTTGGCTGGATGACTGGTTTATGACAGAGTGATACCAACAACATGGGTTCAGTTCTCACACCAGTAGAGGTTATCTCACAACCTCTCCCCTTACCTGAAATGTGGCAACCCTCAGGTTAAACCATCACCAGCTGTCTCTCTCTCTAATGAGAGATCAGTTCTATAGTCCAGAGGACTATGGCAACTTTACTTTCTTAATCAGGAAGTAAAGATCACAAGTAAAACCGACCTTCAAACAGCCACAGAGTGTACAAACATCTACCAATCATGAAACCTAACTCAGAAGTACACTTGAAGGATTGAAAAACCAAAGACTGACCAGAAACATAAGTATTTTTTCAAATCATGAAGGGGTTTGATAAGCGAGAAGCAGAGAAAATGTTTCCTGTTGTGGGGAGAGCCCCACACTAGGGATAATGAAGATAAGATTTGCTACATTAATGACAATGAGGACTTCAGGAGAAACTTCAAGAGTGAAGGGAATGGGAAATTTTCTCCAAGATGGAATAATTGAGGCAAATAGCACAGATACATTTAAAAAGCTGAATACATGTTGGAGGAAGGACTAGGATGTGTAGCAAGGCAAAATGAAATAAGTTGGGAGGAAGCTTAAATATTGGCGTTGACCTATTTGGTTAAATAGACTTTGTACATGGTAAATTCTGCATAACATTATAAATGCAAGTCACTGCACTTGTTCAATGCATTTTGAGATGGAATATTTTTGGGATGAGCATTGTTAATATGCAATAATAAATACACAATAATGTATTGAAATATATTAGATTTAAATCATAATTGCTATAAAAAGTTTGTTTTATAATGAAAAGCAAACTATGCAGGTATAAAGAAAATTCTTGTTTGTAAATCAAGACACCAACTTGGATACCATTTTATACTTAACCTTCAGCAACAAATGGGTATGCAGAAGTGAACTTGTACAGAACAATCCAGCAATATTGTTGTTAGAGAGTCATTAGTTCTGACCAACTACTACAAGAAAAAACACTTTACAAAAAGAGATAACAAGGTGTAGAGCTGGATGAACACAGCAGGCCAAGCAGCATGAGAGGAGCAGGAAGGCTGACGTTTCGGGCCTAGATCCTTCTTCATTTTCTGAAGAAGGGTCTAGGCCCGAAACGTCAGC